TTCAAACTCTGTCGGTGACTAATCTAATATCTAATCTAACAAAATCTATCGTTTGATAAAAAATAAAAAAAATAGCGGGGCCCCCATAAAAATTTGTAAGTGTCCGAAATCTTAAGAATGTCCTAAATAACAAAAATGTTGCAAGACCTTTGGATGCTATCCTATCGTTTATTGGTCACTGAACTATTTTTTATTGATTTTTAAAGTTGAAAAAATAGAAAAATAATATAAACTAACAACGAGGCCCCCAAAGAGATTTGTAGGTGTAAAAAATCTTTGGAATATCTTAAATTAATTTTAGAAAACATGTGAGGCGACTAGAATGACTCAAATTTTGACTTATAATGGAATCTTGTAAAAGTTCTCAAAATCGATTGGAAAACGTGGGAACTCACAGTTTTTGTGAAAATTTTGAAATTTTTAGGGGGGTGTAGTCAAACTTGGATTTGAGAATATTTTAATAGATTTTGATATGTGATGGATTTCATAGGATTATATAGACTTCTACAAAATCCTATAGATTTTGGAAGATTTGAGAAGATTTGAATGACAGATTTCTATAGATTTTGAAAGATTTTGTAACGTTGAATCTTAACCATCAAATAAATCAAATGGTGATAAATGTATCTAGGTCATAAATTTAATCAAATGAAGTTGTTCATGATCTGGAGCTGCATCCCTTGGAGCCGAACAAAAAGAAGTCAAGATTATCACATAAACCCAACTCCACAAAGATCCCCAGTGCACCCATTTCCAATCCTACTTCCTCCCTCACTTTATTCTTATCCCTTTCGTTGTCACCTTAATTATTCTTAATATTTATTAATGAAACGAATTCATTCATGGTACCAAAAAAAAAAAAGCATAAATAAGCAGACTTGAAGAAAGATTGTGACCCAACAACCAAAAAAAGCATAAATAAGCAGACATGAAGAAACGAATTCATTCGTTGTCACCTTATTCATTCATGAACCCATGCCGCACACATAGCAGCAATTAGCATGAGGGTCCAGCAACAACGAAAACATTGCGGACATGAAGAAAGATTGCGACCCAACAACAAATTGAAGAAAAAATTGCATAAAATGATGCAACCCAACAACAAAAAATGAAGAAAATATTGCAAAAATGAAGGAAGAAGATAAAGCAAAGAAAGTGGCTGACAATGAGAAGAAGATGAGTCGTTCAACTAGGATTTGAAATCCTATGGTGTGAGGTAGGATTCTATTTGGTCTTTGTTATATATACTTCCTCCTCTCAAATCCTATAAAATCCACAACTTAATGAAATCCTACAAAATCTTTAATTTTTGAATACATCTAGATTTGGATGGACTTTAAAACTGAATATTAAAATCTCCATTGACTACACCTAGATTTACATGGATTCTTAAAATCCATTAAAATCCATTAGTTGACTACACTAAGATTTTAAAATCTTTTAAAATCCTTTCAAATCCAAGTTTGACTACACCCCCCTTAATTTTAAGAAATATTTTGCGTGGGAATTAACAAAAATGTTGCAAGACTTTTGGATGTAATTTTATACTTTATTAGGTCCCAAAACTATTTTTCATTGATCTTTAAAGTTGAAAATAGAAAAAATAATGAAAGCTAATAGCGGGGCCCCCAAAGGGAATTATAGGTGTCCGAAATCTTCGGATTGTCCTAAATTAATTTTAGATAACATGTGGTGCGAGTAGAATGACTCTAATTTTAGCTCTACCGTTTATTAAATAGGTCACTGAACTATTTTTTATTGAATTTTAAAATTGAAAAAATAGAAAAATAATATAAACTAACAGTGAGGCCCCCAAATGGATTTGTAGGTGTTGAAAATCTTTGGAATATCTTAAATTAATTTTAGAAAACATGTGGGGCAACTAGAATGACTCAAATTTTGACTATAATGAATCTTGTAAAAATTCTCAAAATCGATTGGCAAACGTGACACTCACAACTTTTGTAAAAAAATTGAAAATTTTAATTTTAGGAAATATTTTGTGTGGGAAATAACGAAAATGTTGCAAGACCTTTGGATGTAATTTTATCCTTTATTAGGTCCCAAAACTATTTTTCATTGATCTTTAAAGTTGAAAATAGAAAAAATAATGAAAGCTAATAGCGGTTCCCCCAAAGGGAATTATAGGTGTCTGAAATCTTCGGATTGTCCTAAATTAATTTTAGATAACATGTGGTTCGAGTAGAATGACTCTAATTTTAGCTTATAAAGAATGTTGTAAAAGTTCTCAAAATTGATTGGAAAACTGTGGGTTATAACTCACAGTTTTTGTGGAAAAATTAAAATTTTAGCTTTAGGAAATAGTTTGCGTTGGAGTTAAGGACAATATTGTAAGACCTTTGAATGTGATCCTAATGTTTATTAGGTCTCGAAACTTTTTTTTTTTTTTAATTTTTAAGGTTCAAAATAGAAAAATATCTTTAAATTTAGGTTTTAAATCGTTGATTTCAAGTGTTTAAATATGAATTATAATAGATTTTGCACGAAAAAATATATTTTGAAGAACATGAATACGATAGTTTGTTGTTATGGTAAGAAAAATTAAACAAACATTAACAAAAAAAAAAAAAAAAAAAAAAAACTGAAATAGAAAAAAAAATTGAAAAAAAGGACGATCGATATGATGCTAGCGATTAAGTTGATAAATTTGTAGCGAATTCCTTGACTCCAAAGTCGCTAAATTCGTAGCGACTTCCCCCTCTCCGAAGTACCGATCATATCCTTTTCTTTCTTTTTTCCTCCTTTTTTTTTTCTTTTTTCATTGAATTTTTTTTCTTCCTAGGTTACTTTATTAAGATTTGGTTTTTTAGCCAAAATGGTCCCTGAGATTTGCATAATACATCAATTTGGTTTTTGAGATTGAAATCAATAGAAATGGTCATTGAGATTGTCCACCATCCATTATTTTGGTCTTTCCGTTGAAAACTCCGTTAAGTGTCCCGGAACTCTTGGCCGAAAGTTTGGGCAATTTTCAAAGCTTCGTAACTCAATCATTTCTTAACCAAATTCGACCCATAATATATCAAAATGAAGATAAGAAAGTGTAGAACATTGTACCTATTTGGAATCCAATGGTTGCCGGAGATGGCCGGAAAATAGACTGAAAGGTGACTGGAAGGCCTAAGGCCGCCATCAGGAAGGCTTAAGGTGCATTAGAAGCAGTGGAGGCCCATGAGGTTTCTGGTTTAGAGGCAAGTGAATATAACACCTTGAGTTCGGTGCGTTTCAAAGCTCGATGCATTCAAATGTTTTTCCTTTGCCACAAGGCGACGGAGAAATGTTTAAACAATGTTTTGGTATAATGACCTGATAGATGTCCGATGTGGGAATTGGTTTCCCTTGTGACCCCATGTGAGGCCCTTGTGACTCCATGTGAGGCCACTTGTGAGGGGGCGTGTTGGAGAATAGAATCTCACGTCGAACATATGACAAAAATATATACAGTTAGAGATTCCACCACTAACATTACCGATGCCTTTTATGATACAACCTAACACCTAGCAATAGGTAGTTTTTTTGTTTAGTACATTGATATTTTTACACTAGGGGGATGGGGAGTTTGGCTAAGCCACATAATGGGCAACATAATTTGGTATCGAATTCGCCATTAGGACAATAAAGGTAATGTTGGTAGTGGACCATATTGGGCCTGTCACTTTACACATGCAAGTAATCTCTCCGATACCTTGTTAAGATTTCAGAGTCGGCCGACAGTTCACAACTAATAATTTATAAGTAGTAATATATTATATCAAATTTTTTTGTTGTGGGATTTATATTTTCTCAATCTCTCTCTGTCCTACTCCTACCAAACATAATATGCAAGAAACAAATGGGTCAAAGACAGTTTGTTGAAATTTATGGATATGCTTGGAAGGATTAGGTTTACATGACAAACAACTTCATCGACCTAAGCTTGTGTCCAAACTGTGACAGATGCATGTTGTATTGACTAATGCACACCTCACGCGTGGAGTTGGCAAGAATGTAAACTGTACAAATACAAGATAATATGTTGGGAAAATTTTGGTGCACAAAACACAGAAAAATCGAACGTACGGAAAAGAAGAAGTTCAAGAAAAAATTCAAATCCCCAACAATCAGTATGGACATAGTCAGACACACTCAGATTGCTTTTTCACTTTAGACTTCAAATCACGACAGAAGAGTGAAGACCCTCACTTTTGTCCCCCTCCTTTGTTCACGTATCCCAAACCTTTAAACATTCCCAAGCACCCCTTTTCCTTCCTATATTAATTTAGGCGAGAAAAAGTTTATGTTAGCATGAAATGGATATATCACATTCATAGTCACATGTTGCTTGTATTATAAAGAAAATGAGAGACATTTGTTTTATACGTATTCTCTTGCATATGAGTTTGAATCTCCATTTCGTTGAAAGTAGTTTAGAATATTGCTATGCCACCAAAAAAAAAATTTGTTGAACCTTCATTTGTTGTACTCAATGGAATCCAGAAGTTGAATCATAGCCGCCCTTAGCAAATTTTCCTTCCACAAGAGTTCAAAATCCCATTTCACTTGGGATTTGTTTTGGAACTTTATACATCTCTCACTTAGGATGTCAATCTCCGTTTTATAGAAAGTCTTGCCTGCAAATTCATCACTTGCTTCTCCCACAAGGGGACCTGTTGAAATTGACAATGGGCACCCGTAAAACACCGTTCGTTTTTTAAACACTTCTCCATAGCTCTTGACCCTAACCCACTTATTGTTTGACCGATCAAAATTGAAGAGCATGCCACCAATATGCACATACTTACCAGTAGCGTTTCCCGTCGGACTCTTCAACCAAGTAAGATTTAGAGGGTGAGTCCCACTCTTGTCTTTGCAGCGACGTCTTTAGGAAGGGGAACAAGTCCATCGTCTCCCAGACTTGAAGTTCGGTAGTGAACGCACCCAAATAACTTGATCGAAAATTACAAAGTAAGATTCCATCAAAATATACCAGATCATATATTTCAGAGATTATTAGGTATGGAGATAGTACTCCATGTTCGATTCCTGAGGTTGCATGATCTTATGCTGTCATCGCATCCAAATACGACATAAACATGACAACCATCAGGAGAAGTTGGAACCTTCGTGAATGTGGCAGCATGTTCATAGATCCCACATTTCAACTCCAATGGTGGCAGTTCTATAATCTTATTACAGAAAGGACTATAGAAAAAGAAGATACATGAATGCTCTGTACTTTTCTTAGAGTGAAGCAACCAACCCTTTTTCGAAGCACAAACTTTCGCACCAACGAACAATTCTCTCGCTTCTTCTCTTATGATTTGTCCGACGGAGTAGGTTTGTTTTGCCACTAAATCAGAGAGCTCCAGTATGCTTATGATTTTTCCTTCATGCTTAAACCAAGCATAGTTCATGCACCATGGCATATCATTTACAGGTCGACCGAGAACCCCATCTAGATCAGCTTGCCGCCAACTCTTACATACCACACCGAAGCGAACCAGGTCGAAAAAGGAGAGACGTTGAGCCACTAGGCATAAGAGTTCAATGCGAAGATCAGACCATGAACGCTTTGTCATGATATATCTATGTCTTTCTATAATGAGTTCATATGAGGAGTGTGGAGGAGCAGTACTTCGATAGATATAGGCCGGGTTCCATTACTTTCTAGGTCTAAATTTCCAATCAAAGATCTCGGCGATCTTCATTACTTTCTAGGTCTGGAAGTTCAGAAATCCACCTCAGGAGCCTTCATTCATCAATCCAAATACATATTGGATCTTCTCAAGCGTACCAAAATGGATGGGGCAAAGCCATGTGCCACTCCCCTTAGTTCTGTCAAGCTTGATCACACTGGTTCCTTGTTGTCGAATCCCGAGGACTATCGCTCTATTGTTGGCGCCCTTCAATATCTTACATGGACCCGGCCTGATTTATCCTTTGCGGTTAATTTGGTGTGTCAGTTCATGCACTCTCCCCGGGAGCCTCACTTTCAAGCCGTGAAACGCATCCTCCGGTATCTAAAAGGGACACTTGGATTTGGCTTATGGTTTCCCAAAACCACATCTCCCCTACTTCTAAACGCCTACTCCGATGCTGACTGGGCAGGATGTTCGTGGGATAGACGTTCCACTGGTGGCTTTTGCATCTTTCTTGGTCCTTGTCTAGTTAGTTGGAGTGCAAAGAAACAGCACACAGTTGCCCGATCCTCTACCGAAGCTGAGTACCGCTCCCTTGCACATACCGCTGCTGAGATCACTTGGATCTGTCAACTCTTCTCTGATATTGGATTCAAATTGTCCTCCTTGCCACAAATTTGGTGTGACAATGTTTCTGCAATTGCCTTGGCTTCAAATCCGGTTTTTCATGCTCGAACAAAGCATGTTGAAATCGATTATCATTACATCTGTGAGCTTGTTTTGGCTAAGCTTCTTACTGTCAAATTTATTTGCAGTGCGGATCAATTAGCGGATATTCACACCAAATCTCTGCCAAGACCACGTTTTCTTCATCTTCGATCCAAGCTTTCACTTCAACCTTCTCCGTTCAGCTTGAGGGGGTGTGAAGAGCAAGTTACCATTGTAAAACATTAGTGTTAGTCAAGTTAGTTAGTTGTTAGAATAGTTACAAATAGTTACCACTGTAACTATTCTCTTTACCTGTGTAAATCTAGTTTATATAAATACCTCAGTGTAACTAATTATAAAAGTAATGAAATCATTTCTCAATAGTATACATAATCCTCTTTTGGGATCCAATCCCTCCTAGGGTTAGGAGTGTGTTACTAGTCCTTGTCGCTTTAGTATTCTTATAGCGTAAGTAATCTTCCCTTGTAATTGAAGGCTAATCGAGCGGGATTTGGATCTTTCCTATTTCCATCTTGTAATTGGTTTGCCAACCACCGCGCCTTCTCTGATCCAATTGTAGCCAATATTCTTTTAACACCATAGGTGCTGTCATCTGGCTGTTGTTTATAGATATAGGAGAAAGCACGGCAAAATAAAGAGATCAAAATATATAAACGTAAGTTCAGACTCCTGGGCTAAAAACCTCAAAATTCATTCTGATGGAAACATGTGCAATAATATATAGAATTCGTTTAGGTTGACGAATTTCTGACCACCGTCTCGTTCTTACCAGACTTCTTTGTTAACCCGGTTAGATTGCCTACGTACCATGTGCTCTAGCGCAAGGACCAAACCTACGTAGTTCTGTAGAACCAAACTATAGGGAGAGATTTGTGTGAAGAGTGCGAGGGAGAAATTCCTCTAGGAATTTTGGCTATGAGGGTTTGGAATGGCTGCTGTACGTAATGTTTAAACTCTCTCCGTAAGACCACTATTTAGCTAGGGTTAGAGTGAAAACTTGGAGGCGAAACCTAGCCTACTAAGCCAAGCATATTCCATAAGAGAATATCTATTAATAACAATAAAAGGTATTACCAAGAGATATTAGCATAATCCATCTCTACATTTGGGTGGAGTAATTTTAATTAATAATTGCATTAAATAAAAGGGAGTTTTAATGAAAAGGGTTTGGGCCAACAAATATTTAATAAAAAATCATTCCAAAATGTTATTTAACCAAAAGGGCTCAAAATTTAATAAAAAATCATCCAAAACTATTGTCCACAGGTCAAACTTACAAGCCCAATCCACTACAAATCTACACTTCTGTAAATACTCCTAAATGATTTGATATTGTCTTGACTCTTCACCAATCTCAACCCAACGCGGAACCGCCATAATAATTCCCTGTCTTCATATCAAATCGAATTCCCCCATTTCAAAAACAACCAAATCAAAGTTCAAATCAAAGTTGAAAAATGAAGCATTCATTGAAACAAAGCCGCCGAAACAAGTTCAAAGAAGTTTAATGGCAGAAACCAGCGAAAAAGTGTCTGGAAAAAAAAACCAAAAACATAAAACTGTTTCTGGATTACCCAAAACATAACACTGTTTCTGAAAAAAAATTAGATACAGTGTTTGTTTTGTCTGTGCACAAACAAACACTGTATCTGGAAAGAAAATAACCAAAATCCAGAAATAGTGATTTAAATTCTAGAAACAGTGACTTAGTTTCAGAAACAGTCTATGTTTTAACCTTTGAATGTTTCTTTTCTTTCATGCATCGGTTGATTATATTTAGGAAACATGATGCTTATTTTTCTTTGAATCCAAATATAGTGATTTTCACTATTTCTTTTCTAGCTTACATTTAAGAAACAATGTGTCTATTTCATTTGGATCCAGAAATAGTGACTTAGATTCCAGAAACAATTTATTTTTTACAGTCCAGAAACAGTGACCCGTCGTTATTATTGAATAGCATGCATATCTCAAATTTATTTTCTGGAGAAACAAAACATGAACTCCACTAACGATGAAAAATTGAAAAACAGCACCTCGAATACACTATGAATAATAACGACGATCACATTTCAACGAAATAATACAAAATATAAATTAAATAGCATGGGGATCTATATATTTAACCTTTAAAATTTAAGTGGAAAAGGATCCTGCGGGATTCATTTTCCTGAGAATTCTAGAGATCTCGTGATTCTGACCGTTTATCGTACATTATGCGATCAGAAATTATTTCAAAATTTAAAATTTAAAATTAAATATAAATAGTATTTAACGAAAAATAATCACACGATATACGATAAACGGTCATGATCATATAATCCTAACATCGTCAGGAAAATGATCCGATTATGATCCTTTTCCGATTTAAGTTGGCGTAGAAGAGGTTGACTTGAAGTTCATACTGTACTATGAATGACTGACTGAACACGTGTACTGTGGATGGATTCACTCCAATTTATCAGTAAAAATTAATAAAATAATAACACCAGATGAAATCTTAGCTAACAAAAAAAGCAATAGCATGATTAGTGAATGAGATAAGATCAACGCTTGGAAGAGGAAGAGGAAGAGGAAGATGGAACTGCAGTAACATCATCATCATCATTATCAAGGTGTAGTTTTTCGCCTGAGTCTTCCATTCTAAGAGATTGAGCTCGCTCGCTCTCTGTTTTCAGTGATTAAATGGGGCTGAGCAGATTTGGAGGACTGGTCAAACGGCTTGGAGTTGCCAGGAGAAGGCCATTTGCAACCTCCTCTTCCTCTTCCTCCTCCTCCTCCACCGCCGCCGGTGATGGAACGATTGTTCGTGGCACTGGTAGCAAATCATTGAACCTCTACTCTGCCATCAACCAAGCGCTCCACATCGCCTTGGAAACTGATCCTCGGTCAGCACTTTCCTTCTTCAATTCTACCTGTTGTATCTGCTTGCTTGCTTCATAATTTGGACTGAATTCGATCTGCGGTGTTTTTAATCGTTTTCTGAATTGGCTTTGCTCTGCATTCATTCAACTATTCTCGTTAATTGAATCGTATGTGATTGTGATGTGATCTTATCTCTTAGATCAGATGGTTATTTTGCTTTCGGTCTATCGACTCCACTGTAAACAATTGTATATCATCATCCACGAGTTTTGCAACTTCGACTGACTTTGCTGAAAAATATCAAATTCGGTAAAATTCACCGCTTGAATTTTACAGATGTTCATGCGAGATTTCGATGCACCAGTGTTATTTTGGATCGATCAGTTACCTCATTGTTCTTGTGCGCCGCCTAGCCTAGCATATGGGTTAATCACTTGACTCATTGTTTTCATTTCACTCTCAGTTCTTATGTATTTGGAGAAGATGTGAGCTTTGGTGGGGTCTTCCGCTGCACAACAGGCTTAGCTGATCGCTTCGGTAAACAAAGGGTTTTTAATACCCCTCTTTGTGAACAGGTACCCGGCGGGCTTTATGTCTTCCGTTGTACCAAATTACCATGTATCCCTCCCTTCCACTTTGTTAAATATGTCTTCTGTCAACTTGATAACCTCCCTTATTGTCCTTACACCCAGGGCATTGTAGGATTTGGCATTGGTCTAGCAGCTATGGTAAGTATGAAGGTTTAGTCTTACACGTGACCTTTACAATCATACGTACCTCCATTCAAATTTTACCTTCAGTTCTTTATCTTATCTTATAGGCACGAACCTCACTACATTTGTTTTCATCTGACTTGATAGGGTAATCGAGCTGTAGCAGAAATCCAATTCGCAGATTATATTTTTCCAGCTTTTGATCAGGCATGCATCCCAATTCCTTTCAGTGCTGAGTTCAGTCATAGCCTCGTAGCCTCACAAATGAAAAATGATAATTAATTGGGTGAATCTCACCTTGTAGATTGTCAACGAAGCTGCAAAGTTCAGATACCGAAGTGGAAATCAATTTAATTGTGGAGGTGAAACTTCCTTTTCTTGATCGTGTGTGAACCGTACTTTTTTCTTCCCACATGTTATTTGCGCATTATGAGGTTTTTTTATTACTCACTAGGTTTAACAATAAGAGCCCCCTATGGAGCTGTCGGCCACGGTGGACATTATCACTCACAATCTCCTGAAGCTTTCTTCTGTCATGCCCCTGGTCTCAAAGTATGTTTTCTTCCATTCAATCACTTTGTAATTTTTGCCCCCACAAACCCTTGCCGCATTTTTGCGATCCTTTCTTTGAAC